AAATGGGTTCAAACCTTCCCCTTCACTATCATTTCTCATTTGGCTATGGCAGGTTCTGACCAAAAGCCTCTTCTGTGTACTATAAAAAATGCTGAAAAGCCAAACAAAGCTCCATTCAGATTCCAAAACATGTGGACTCTACATCCTCAATTTGTTGAAGAAGTTGATAAGGTTTGGAGGGCTGAAGGTGACTCTAATCCTTGGAATAAACTGTGGAATCTCCAGAAGAAAGTGGCAACACATCTGAAGAAGTGGAATTGAGACACTATTGGCAATAGACATGAGAACTTGACTAATGCCCAAAGAAAAGTTCGTAACATGGAAAAGAGTTTTCAAATGGGGTTAAATTCTGAAGCTGACCTTCATAAAGCTAGTGAAGAGCTGTTAATGCAAATCAACTATACTGAATGTTTTCTAAAACAAAAGGCTGCTGTCACCAGATTTATTGATGGAGATAGAAACACAAGCTATTACCATGCTTGCATTAACTTTAGAAGGAAAAATAACATGATTTTATCCATACAGGATTCTGATGGTATGTTATTGACTGATGTTGAGAATATTGCCCATGATGCTGTTAAATATTTCCAAAACATCTTTAAGGATCACTCTACTGATAGAGCTCAAATCAAGATGGAACTCTTCTCTGATTGCAATGATTATGTACAAAGTTTGGATCTTAATCCTATTCCTGTGGAAGGAGAAATTAAAGCTGCATTAGACTCTATAGATGACCATAAGGTGGCTGGCCCTGATGGCTTCACTGCAAAATTTTATAAGGCTACTTGGCATATTATCAGTGAGGAGTTTGTTGATGCTGTTCAAAGCTTCTTTAAAGGTATTGACCCCCTAGATACTTTACAGCTTCCACTATAACTTTGATTCCCAAAAACTCCAGCAGGGTTGGGTGGGGTGACTTCAGACCTATCAGTCTAACAAATGTCATTTTTAAAGTAATAAGCAAGATAATTAACAACAAGCTTCAACCTCACCTCCAGCAGCTTATCAGCAATAACAGGTGGCATTTGTGAGAGGCAGACAAATCTATGATAACATTCTATTGGCACAGGAGCTGTTGTTGGACCATGATAGAAAATGTAGAGGCAGCAATCTCATTCTAAAATTAGATATTTAGAAGGCATATGATACTATTAAATGGAATTTTATCTTGGATACCTTAAATGTTAGGGGTTTCTCTGGGGCCTTTATCAATCTGATAAGAAGATGGATTTTTTGTAACAACCACTCTATCTTAATTAATGGTAAAAGCCAAGCTTTCTTCAATGCCTCTAGGGGAATTAAACAAGGAGATCCTTTGTCACCAACTATCTTTATTCTTGCTATGGATTATCTTTCTAGGCTTCTAAATCAAATGTTTGCCTCCTCTCCTCATTTAGTCTATCAGCATAGATCCAACATTGGTGTGAGTCATTTGTCCTATGCAGATGATATTATTATTTTCTCCAAGGCTACCAAGACTGCTATTCACTTCTAAAAAACATCTGGTATGCATTTGAACAAACAAAAATGTTAAATTCTCAAATTTTTACTAGCTCAAATACTCTTCCACAGATTAAGCAATGGAAGCAATGGATTGCACAACACACTGGTTTCTGCAAGGCTTCTCTCCCAATCAACTATCTTGGTGTCCAATTAATCAAAGGGAGAACCAATCAAACTCAATTCCATGGTGTTATTGATCAAATTCAAAAACAGCTGTAACGTTGGACTAATTACTTCCTCTCTAATGGAGGTAGGATCACCATCCTTAAAAGCATCTTAACTTCCATCCCTTACTATGCCCTTCAAATTTTTATCATGAAAAAAGGAACTCAAATAAGGCAAGGCAGAATTTTTAACAAATTTCTGTGGGCTGGACAGAAGAAACAATTCCATTGGTTGGCATGGCAACATGGAAACAATTCCATTGGTTGGCATGGCAAAAATTGTGTAAGCCTTTACATGCAGGAGGTTTAGGCTTTAAAGATTTTCAGCAGCTCAGTGCTATGGATAAAGTTTAGAGCCGGATAAAGTTTAGAGCCCAAGATAGTCTCTAGGCAATGTTTATGAAGGGGAAGTACTGCCTGCAAGGCAGTACATCCTATCCTGGCTAAGAAGAAAGTAGGTGATTCAAGGCTGTGGACTAAACTATTGGAGGTCAGACATCAAGTTGAGGATCTATTTATTTGGGAGCTTGAAGAAGGACAATAAAATTTCTGGCTTAATAATTGGGTTGGGAATGGGGAGAGACTACACACCTCCAATCCAAACTCAGTGACAAAAGTGAAGGAATTCTGGACTGATAATCAATGGAATTGCAATCTGTTGGCTACCATCTTAACTGAAGAGCAAATGTATTGGGTTAAGAAAACAAAAATCAATCCTGCACAGAAAGATAGAATCATTACTAGACAGGCTTCCTCACAAAAAAATGTCTGCTTATATTTTCCAACAATTATATCAATGACAACCTGTCATGTGGGGGAAAATGATTTGGGGAAAGTGGTTAACACCTTCCATGTCTTTTTTCTGCTGGAGGCTTTGGAAATCCTTACTACCTAGTGATGATATTTTGAAGATGAAAGGGCTTAGGGGACCCTCATGTTGCTGTCTGTGTAGTAAGGCTGAAGAAAGTCTGGAACATTTGTTCTTTTCTTGTAGTTCTTCCCAAAGAGTATGGTCTGATCTGTTAAAGCATCTCAACATTGATACTCTAAAAGTCAGCTGACAATATTTTCTAGGGTGTTGGAAGGAATGGTTGGATGCTAAATTAATAATCATTCTATGTGTTGTTGCATGGATGTGCAGAAACCAACTAAAGTATGACAACATCAAACCTAAGGGAATGGTTGTGGTTTTGAATTGTACTTCATATTTGCAAAAGATTATAAAATATCAAAACTTTCCCAATGTTTTCCAGAATTGGGTGCCCAATGGGAAAATCCTGAAATTGACCAAGATAACTTTGGTCCTCTGGACCCCCCTCCTAAAGGGTGGCTGAAGGCCAATACAGATGGCCAATACAATAAGGAGG